ACCATTAAACGAAACAGACAAATAAACCCAAATGTAGTTGCACAACGATTTATGCGCTTCAGGCAATGGTCAAAGAGTTGAATGTGCTACAAATCCCCGGAAAGTAGGGACCAAATCGCACTCCAATGAAGAACGGCGCTCACCGTTGCCTGTGTGCACGACCCACAATTGTATAACAAATTACAGCAAAGTGTCTGATGTGGTTACAGCACATGAATGTATGAATGGTTTTACGAGTGTGTAAACTAACCTCAAGTTATACGCACGTCGTCGATAAAGCAGGTTCCAAGATCGACAAACCGATCAACTATGTTCAGTTCTCTTGTCTATGAGGACTAAAAGTCCATCAAATGATTGGGGGTCCTTCGAACGAACGGAGGTGAAATGTGTAAAAGAAGATGCCAATGAATGGAACCACTATGGACAGCGCGCCTAGAATGTAGCTCTCACGACTGTTACATAGAAAGGTGATGCCGTTCTCGTGATCAAGATAAATGGGTTTTCCAAGGGCGGCGCTTCAATGCCTGTGTCACGAAACCCCATAGTGGAACTTTGCATGATCTGGTCGGTGGTAAAAGCGAACAAAGAAATGAAAATGGAGCGGCTCGAACGAACACTAATTGTTGGTGTGAAGACGCTCTGCGAATCAGCGTATGCCATGGCGCAACTTGTGATGTTCGGTCATAGGGCACATAGAATGCTCGCACACTTAGTAGAAACAGCTTTCCGAGTGTGTATCGAATAGAATAGAAGGACCGATTGATTAGAAGGTGCTCACCAATTCAGAAACATGTTCGCAGTCAATCGACGGTGCGTGTGACGCCGTTCCAGTGCGGAACAAAACGATAAGCTTTGTGGCCTTTTCATCATAAGAAGATTAGCGTCAGTAAAGGTCAGAATGGGAATGGAGGCCTGTAGCCTTACCACTGTCGGTTTGAAACTGAGACCCTTGTGGCTACATGAACACTGCGACTGCCATGCTTGAACATTTTGAATATGACTGGCTCACTACAATAGCCTCATGGGCATCAATACACATTAGCTGAGAGTCAGAAACACACTTCATCTGATGTGCCGCAATACAATAGACTCGGAAGGCCTCTTCCCCCATATCTTTCGCGGAAGACTTCACGATCATCCTTAAATATGGTGGGTAAGAAAAAGTATGAAAAATCACTGTGAAAATGGTTAAATGCAGCGACAGTTTAGAATCACCGTCTAAGCTAAGGCCTCTAAGTTAACTAGCGCTATTACAATCTGCGTAAGTTAAAGTGCTCTATCCCAGATGTTAATTGAGACGCCGGTGTAGATGGTTATCCCCCTTACTGACAAGCGTTTGTGGTCATTATCATCATCATCTTTCCACACATTAGCTAGATGTAAGAAATAACTCAGCTGCTGTGCAGCAATGCGAAGTAGTAAAATAATAGAGAATAACTACAAACTAATCGAGAGCCGAGCCAATCTTCGGTCGCAGACCACAGCACCATGAGCAGTATCGGCACACGTAGTTCAAAACGAGCGGTGATCAGGGATGGAACTATGCAACCTGAAGTCTACAGAATAATGGTCAGTTAACGTATGACGTTAACTAGTCGCCGAGGATTAACAAGTGACGTACTGGCACTCATTGCGCAAGCAAGTAGTGCTACCTATAAACAGCCGGTGAGCAATGAGCAGGCGCAAAAACGCTCAACGCGCTAGGAATTATATCCGAGCATTCCATCTATCTGGCTTTCTGAAGGGTTAAGACAGTCTGCTCGCACATTTAGATCACTGTAAAGACACATTTGCGGATAGCGAAGCTTCAGTAGAACTGAAAATGCGGTCACTTCCAAAGGGGAGTACAGATCGAAAGTCAAAATGTTGATGTGGAGGATGGAAGTGTCAGTTGAAAGGAAGATTTAGCGCATCAGCGACGCGTTTTTGCCAATCTAACTTTGACAGCAGTAGGAGCATCAATATATCAGCCATTTAAACGGACAGTTTGCCGCCCTACAATCACAATGACTTATTGAACAAAGAATAATGAAAGGGAGAGGAGTGCACTAGTGTAAAAACCTAAAATGCTCTAAGAAACATCAGAGTCAAGGGGCTTAGCAACAACATTCCGTCACAGAGCTGCCTATGGTCCAAAGATAAGACAGCATCGGCTAGACAGCTTCCTCGCGGCATTCACGGTCCTACGTCATAATCAGCCATTACGCTGCAAATAACTCAGCAATAAACACACTTTGACTAGCTAGTCCGATTAGGAGATGGAAACAGACGGGCCACTGGTGTCGACTGCGAGCCATATCCTGTAACGTCTCAATCCAAGCACAAGACGAGTCACGTGAGCTCCAGCGTGAAAAGAAAGACAGACTAACAGTGTCCAGTTATTTGGTCGGTGACTTCATTTCACTCTGCCAAAGTAACCTTTGCCCACCTCGAGCCTTGAGCTACCCCACATCTGGCAAACGAACCAGGGCTCTCCTCAGTAGGCATCATCATCAGCATTATACAAGTTAGTTAACCGTGGAAAACACTGCACGTGTTGTGACGTAGTATAAAAGAAAAGAAGAAAAACATGCAACAGCAACACGCCAGCTGAGCCACCTGCAGCGGATGAGCATCGTTCAGGAGAGCTAACAGCCGGCCATTGTGTCGCAAAAATGTTACCCTCATGCACTAACGCCTCGCGTAGCGCCGCTCCACTCCACTACATACTAGCACATTGATGATGTCATCACGAGTGGTGAGGAAACGTTCACAAAAATACTGCCGAGCTCATAGAACACTTCGATCATCAACTGAATAATCTGGGTTACCAATATCTGCTACTATATCAGTGTTACATTATGCCTAGGAAATGAGATCGTGGTTGGTGGGGAGACTAAGAGAGGTGGGAAAGAAACTCATAACACAGATGTCACTCAGGTCGGCTCCTAGCCAAGTCAATGAGTGTATCCAACTAAAGGTATTCATTGTCTTTCGGTCCCCAGCGCTGCAGTCGGTAAACACCAACCGACGCCAATTTCTTAGTGAGGGACTTCATTCCTCTCAACCTATTCATTGTTTGGCCACCCATCCTCTACTTTCATCCACACCCCCGGCGCGCAAACAACGCACGTCGCGGAAGTCGGTGGGTTGGCATGTGCAACACATGCCTCAGCTATCGGAGCCATCCTCAGTAAGCGGTGACCATGCATATATAGTATATTCTCAAGCCAAAGCAAAGTATTCAATGGGATCTGTTGTTTTAAGGAATTAACTTGATTATCACCTTCTAGCAATCACCTACGCACACTGGTGCCATCCGACACCAGCAACAATCCGCAGGCAACGACGATCAAAGACTTGAAAGCGCCTCAAATTCGCAGCCCGAAAAGGCCAAGCCTCACTTCCATAGAGTAGGAACGCCTCACTATGGTCCTGGAAACAATGCCTTTCAGACCGAGGGAAACCCGTTGTTGACGCTACATATGTCGCAGATTCAAAAAGGTAGTTCTAACTTATGCAATACCTGAGCAGACTAAGGTGGTTATGTGTCTATCGTTGTTAATGGAGCTGCCAAGGTAAGCTAATTGATCAACTACCTCGGGCTTCTCACTAGCAAGAGTCAAGATATCAACAAATAGCTGGTGGTGTTGCAACAGCGTTGCACAATTTGGAGGTGCGAAACACATGCCAAATGATGATGCCACTCTAGAGGTTGACCACCCTCAACTCCATGTCAGTAGATAAAACACACTCTATGAAACTGTAAAGGCGGACGAATGTTCATGATGAAGCTGTCCAGAAGAATCGTGTTCGTATGGTCAGAATACTGCGAAGAAGCCCAGGACAGTCTCGTGTAATGTAGGTTATTTTAGTGAAATGATAAACCGGTGTTATAAAGTTTATGTTTGGTAGACACTGAAGGAGAGCGATCACGATCATCAGTAAGATGAGCACTATTCCAAAACGATACTCTGGTTCCAATAAATAAACAACTTAAGCACTAAAGTCTCCCGTAATGGTTCCAGTAACTATACGTTTGGTATTATAAAAAGTTGTTCTTATATTGCATACTCGACGACATCTGGGTTTCAATAAACAAGTGCGTGTACCCAAAGGATGAAAAGCGCCGAGAGTTCGATGTCCACAAATCTCTCCTAGTTGAGCTCTGGTGTCGGACCTCAGAAGTATGGCTGCTCAGTGCTATCTAGTCTAGAAGATCAGCCTCCGCAGGTCTACCGAGAGCGAATCCAGTACGAAGTATGCCGAATCAGGTGTTACCGCTATGATGGCTAGTCGTTTTATGTGGTATTGAACTTGACTGTACAAAAGCCGTCTGGATTTAGACGAACGATATAGAGTCGAGGAGCAAGGGCTGCACTCCATCAATGTAGGAGACAACTAGCGAACCACATACTGTACGCCAATCGAGCAGATTCAAGAGTCTACGGATTGCGACCTCACCACGTGCTTCACCCAAATCTCTCATGAAGACGGTTAGGCTGGATTTAGCCGACACTTGACTACTAACATACTAAGAATGAGTGACTCCGAAGACAACTGGGCCAATCAGTGAGAGCCAATGAATCACGCAACACGCTGAGGCCCAATTTCGTCACGGTGATGGTAATCTGACAGTGTGACAAAGTTCAAATTTCCCTAATTGGACGATGCATTTGAAGCACTTGCACAATTACCAACAGTTTCTCAGTTGTATACAGTAGAATGGCTGAATTCAAAAGGCGGTGATACGAATAGGGAATTTTTCCTTTAATCAGAGGTGCTCAATATGTGCTGACCATGTACCGACGGTTTTGTATGCCTCAAAGTCAAATCAACGGAAACAAATTAGGTAGCAAGTCAACAGATTCATGCAACAACCAATTGTATACAATACCCAAAACACTGTCAATATAATTAACCAATACAGATGAGGCCAAATGGGAAGCTAAAGTGACTGCAAGATGTAACGTGTTTTATCATGGTGTAAGGAGCAGGAAGCTATAACGCCGCAGACTTACTAAATTCCGAGGACTTCCTCCTTGAAACTCAACAAATAATCTCTTGTCAACTGTCTCGAATCGTCCACAAATCGGCCAGCGTACGCATCAGATATCCCTTTGAGCTGCCACATTTGAAGTCCGACCTGAATTTTAATTCAATTTGTTTGGAGGATTATGATCTGGAAACTTACATGTAGGGCAATAGTGATGATCGTTTATATTTACTAGAAGTAAACAATGGACCAAAATAAGCTTTATTCTCCAGTTCACTTGAATAGCTTTTCCAACGAGATGTGCAGACTCGAGAGGACAGAAAACATCTTTTTCAAAAGATTATAAGTTGGCAACTTATGCCGCCATAAAAAAACGATAAATTCACTCGGAAAATAAATGATAGATAATCTCATGTACTTCGGAGGCTAAAGCATGCGCATTAAGATTAGGTCTCGACCCGTAACCATCAAGAAGTTGAATTTATGAGCTAAACATCACTGTCTAGATACGGATACATCGTTGCTGTGTAAACGGTTGCGGTTGCACTCGGGATGGAATATGGTCAAGAGACCCAAAAATACGCATGGGTGGAGTGGTCTCAAAGTCTCAGTGCGGTTGTTATGAACCAAGCGTCTGAACAACTACATGATGGAATTCAAGTATAACTAAGGATTGATTCACGGACCAGTTAGCTGAACGTTGTAGATCCTATTAGAAGTAATGCTCACGAGCAATTAGGAAGACACTCAGTTGAAACGCAGTGGGCTATTCCAAAAATATGTGCCGCTCAAGTAAAGTGCGCCAGCTACACCGACAATGCTTTCGTTTATGCCTCGGACAGATAGGAATTGCTCAGACGACTTCCGGAAATATATGTTAGACGATCATTTAATATTTGTGTGTTGTTGTGTCCCTTTTCGTCAGGCTAGGTTAATTGGAATAAAACTGGTTAGCGACATCTGATTCCGGTGTTGTTCGTCACTGCAGCTTCCATAGGACAGCCATAGGACGCCTGCGTCTAGAGAGGAACTATGAATGGCATGCGTTGCACGACACACAGCTCCATCTATACACCCCATATCCAGTGTAAACCCAAAGAAATAGGATCGAAAGATTTGTGGATTGGAACCAGGTTTCATCAACGGAGCCGGTCCACACTCCTCCCATAAGCACAGCGGTAGCATTCTTGTCTATATATGTGGGGAATCATGCATACCACACGTACACAAGGCGGTAGCTGGGCCGTCGTCCGTTTCACACTTGATGGAACCACGCATTGAGCCTAGCATGGCCACGAGGACCGTGCACCCCGTCACCCCAGCAACGATTTACAATGTCCTGGAGCCAGTAACCTGGGTGGAGGTGTTAAGCAGGTAAGCACCTCATCAATTTCCATATCGAGCGCAAACACACCGGGGGTATCAAAAGCAAGAACATAATTTGAAGTACAATAAACACGCGAAAATGACACGGAATATGCAACAGACTAACAGAATTGAGCAAATCAAATAAAGTGGAATACTTTTTATCCAGGTAATAAGATCTAGTTTAAGTGTAAGTGTGAGTTGATGTAGCCCCACTACGATGAAGAAGCATGATGTATTATGCAACAGCAACTTCAGCAAGAGGCACAGCGTAAAACTAGTGTGACAGCTATTAACAGAGTCCATTGTTGTGACAGAGAACATATGAAGCATAAGGCGTGTGGGTACCTAGCGAGTCATTTCCCTCAATAGCACATACATATGTAAAAAATAGACCCGGTTAGCACGGTGTACATCATGTCAATGCAAAGTCCCTTATGTTAGGTAAGGAGGTTGTGGACGGCGCACACTGTCCAACCAGGATCTATTCGCGCAAGTAGACCATAGTGACCCAATTTAAGACCGGGAGTCAGGCAATAGATAAACTTGTCTGGAATGTACTTTTGATGACCTTGTTAGCTTAGGTGAATTCCGCCACATTCAAAAGTAGCTTGGACATAAACTAGTCAAATCTGTTTCCGGATTTGCCGCAAGATTAGTAGGTATTATTATCACCAGCCCATATCTTAGGTATTTCGCAGAGGTAACAGAACAGCGGCCAACCGAATATCAAAGTGCCGAGGGACTGACTTGTTTGCCAGCATACGTAACGGTACGCCCGTTAGGCAAGAAGTTGCATTTTTCCTGGAAACCTGACTTAGCCTGACGTTTCTTGCATTTTCCACTTTACGAACTCGACAATCTACAGGTCAAGTTTAGGATATGTGTTCAGTTCGTGCGCCGCTAATGTCCGATAGCTTAGTAGCCTCATGCAACAGGGCTACGCTCCTGCAGCCTTGGTGTGTGTGCCAACTACATCTTGAAATCTTGATAGGCGACTGACTCGGTCAGCGCAGTTGAGTGCAACAATTTACAATTAGTTTTATGTATGTGGCTCAAATCCTACATAATATCGTGAAAGAATCCTACAAACTGGCTTGTGTTCAATGTAAATGTATGCCATAAGGAGAATCGATGTGATCGTTACCTTGAAGAGTACTCTGTCATATTAGAAATTCCCGGACGGCAGCCAAAACGTTTCAACATGCCACGGATTCAAGGAGGTGAAGATAATATCGTCGCCGATCCGTTTAACAGAAGCGTTAAAATGTTGAGAAATTGCGTATAAATACTCAGGAGGTGGATGTGATAGAAAAAGTAGCGCTAGGTCATTTATCGAAAAGCTAGCCAATATAAGTTCGATCAAAAGTATGTGATCATAAGACACATGCTCTCGTATGTTTCATGTTATGCGTGAAATAACACCCAATGCTGTATGATAAGTGTAAAAGTTTGCCCAAGAAAGGAGCTTAAAGACACAAGCACCTCTACTCTATCCCATACCTGAACAAGTGGGTTACTAGGTACGATAGTGGACTGAATAGTCGTACCACTAATACCATACAATTGAGAGATAAAAGCAAAGGTATCAGTGTACATACCTACCTAAAGTGGAAATGACAGAACCTAATATTGCGGAACACTGTCCATAAGAGTATTATAACCATCTTGCACTACTTATAAATTCTGTTATCATGGTGACTAGATGAACATACGGTCAGAAACTGGACGTCACGGTTTTACTTATATGGAGAGAACTAAGCATGCTAACACAGCAGTTCATGTAAACTATTACCACTATACTCTACTTCTACGAGATGCGCTCATGTACTCGGATTAATAGAAGAAGACGCAGTAAAGTGGAAGCACCAGGGAATGTTGCAATGACATTGATATGTTCAGTAATATATGTAACGTGTCCATCTCCGTATATTTATTGGAAATCCACGTTTTTATGAGAATCGGTCCTGACTAATCCACGGAATTAAAAGAGCAGTGCTAAAGTTAATTCAAGGTTTTGCTGTAATGATTCGTTTCCCTCCAAATAAACATTTATCGCAATTGCTCACCGAACCCTATAGAACAGTTGAAGGGTGCTCAAAATGAAAAAAGCAACGTTGCGATTGCTGCTTAGTAGAGAAATGGGCTACGCATGAAATATTAACATTTGTACAGCTAAGCATAAAAGAGTAAAGTTATATGCGACATTGATCCCTGATAAAGTTTCTAGTTTTGTTATATCCAGTGTATAATCGAGGAAGTTCTGCGCTGGACCCAAGACAAGCGCATGGACACAGATACCAGAGACGCGTAATAGCCCAGAGTTGTAGGTCCATCAGCAGCACATTCTCGTGTCTGACTATGGCACATACTTTCCCAAATTCAGCAAGGCGGCTAATTTTGAGGTCGATTACGTGTTACCTAAGCTCGTGTTCGGTAAAGCCGCAATGCAAGCTGCCGGTGACAAACGAGTTTATGGAGGTAAACCGATAATAGAATCGCCGATGATATACCATGGAGAAACAGTCGAAGCCGTTTGTAGACTTAGTTTCAGAGGATGGAATTGTATGGATAGTTTCGATGAATTATCAGCATTAAAGCATACAAACGCAAGTAATAACTGACGGCTTCTCCGAAACGATCAGTAATGCTGGTGAGCGGACGAAACCCTAAATATGTGGAATGTTATTACACCTTGAGACATCCTTGCAACTTTTTAACTCATGCGGAAAAGAAATTCATGAAAGGAGGGAAATAACTGCCTGGATATATGAGCGACTTACGTTGTAATTCCCGTCAAGTTTAACGCTAAAGGGAGCCTTTGGAAAGGAAAACGATATGCCGCTTGATAACTATTGTTGTTAGATCTCTCGAGCTCACCTGCATCTTTGCTGTCAACACCACTCAGGTCAGACAAAAAGTAATCTAATGAAGAGGAGCAATGTGACTGGTTTTTCCTACTCCGCCCCCGATCGTTGCTGACAATTATGACGAAACTGAACCATGGTGTCGTTTTTATGTTAGCGTGCCACTATGATCACTTATGTCAGGCAGCTTAACTGAGGAAGAACGGGCAAACTTAATCGCAGCATCCCAGTCAAACATTTGTAAGAATATGCGTGCAGTTTGACTTAAACCCCAGTTATAACAGATAACAGCTTAGTGATCACAAGCTCAATCAGGACAGCATAGAGCCTAAGCGTCGAAATTTGTTGCTATTAATGGAAATGCTCGACTGTTGTTCCCTGATACGCTATTGCCTATCGCAGACCAAAGGCAAACTAGCTCAAAGACTTGTGGATGACTATTATGTATATTTGTTACCTAATAAGGATAAAGTAGATTAGGCAATACAAATCCACTGGGCTGTGTAATCACCACCACGTAAAGCCTTGCAAAATCGGTAGCTGGACTACGGAACAGTATCTGATCCTCTAAGGTTGGCGAGTCCAAAGCTTATGCTAAAGGCGAGAGTCACGAGATTTCAAGAAAAGTTGATCCATAGGAGATTCGAGTATCACACACCCCAAAGCTCTGTCCCGTATGTCTCTTTCCTTATTTTCTCACATTATCCTACATATACCGTGATTTCCAATGCTATCAGTGAGCATACATAGGCAGTTGACAGAAGGTTTTCTTCCGTGTCGAGTATTTCGGGCACACCTTTTTGTTCGGTCGGATAACAAGCGATGACGGCCTTCGCTCTGCAGCCTATCTGTAGACACCTGATGTGCCTCCCATTTAAGTATACAGAAAAGAGTCCTTATCTAGTCACCGGCTTTGCG